TAAGACAGAGCTGTGTAAGCCGGAGGCTAAAAAAACTGTGAGCCAGCTCAGCTTAGCAGGAACACTGCCCCCCCCCCCCAACTCCAAAAGCATAATATAGTACTATTTAAACCACAAATCTAGACTCTGAAGTGTTCCTTAGAGGCATACAACCACTTCTCTGGACAGATCAGAAGGTCTGATTTTTTCCCCCTCGGCAGCAATTTCTAATCCTAAATCAGGGGCTGCTCCCCAAATTCTTTTACACTGGGCAATGTAGACAGCTAGTTTTGGATGAAGGAATCTCAGAAGTGCTACGGCTTGCAAAGAAACTCCCCAGATAACTCTTTGGATCCCTGGATCACCATGGGTCCAGTAAGGAACACTTCTCAGGTGAAAGTTTATGTCGATGTTGCAAACTTTCAGTTGCTACAACTAATTTTTTTGTACCTATAAAAGTCTGTCTTGTAGAGTAACATTGACTTCCACTGACTGAACCCTGTATTGAATTAAAAAAATAATAATCAAATAACACAACTTTGCTATATGAGCTTTCCATGCGGATTAAGATATCTCATGGCAAATACCAGGCAAAAAAATGGAGGAACAATGTGTAGTGAACAAATATTTTATTAGAAAACATAATGAAGTGTTTTCAAAGTATAGTTTATATAAACATTGCAAAGGAAACAATTTCATCTTGTGGTCAGTTTGTGTATAACAGCGTTGCAGTACAAATTATGTCCCTCCAACATATTAACAGAGTCTAAACCAAAGAACCCTGTGTGTGAGCGGAAAGCACTTCTGTGCATGTATCGGTGTCTGCATCACTATTCGTACCCTTGACTTCATCCACCCATGCGGCCCTATACCCAACACTGGATGAATCAGTGATCTTTGCTGCTTGGGGCTGTAGCAGGGAGGGAGGTCTGGGAACACTTTACAAATACTGTGTCTGACCCTTTGCATCTTGATTAGTTTCCTGTAAACAGTAAGTCAAACCATGTATCTAATAGTGATAGGTGTCCCTTCTGTGTAGATAAAAAAAAATTGCCAACACCACTAGGTTAGAGTATAAGTTTCTGAAAATGTGAGGTTAACCCCACTGCTCTGAAGATAAATCTGAAAACTAAAGAAGGGGGGAGTTAAACAATTATCCAAAAGTAGCTAGTGATGCCTGCCATTTTTCAAACATTACGGAAAACAGATCAGCTGCTATCATGGGCTACCTAAGAATCCAAGATGTTGTGTGAAGATATAAAAAAGGCAGAGTAGGAGATTGGCCAGGGGAGAAAAAACACCAAGGGGAAGAATGTGTGTATGCAATTAAGCAGGTTGGAAAGGGAAGAAGAAGTTGGGTAGGGAAGAAGGAAGAAAAAATGGGGATTGGCTGACTGGGTTACACATGAGTGGGAGAAATAGACCTATAAGAAGGGAGGAAGTACTGACTGGTGGAAGGTGAAATTTGAGTTCTCTTTTCCCTATCAATAATCACTGGTCTCCCTCTTGTAACTATATTTGTAGAGCATTTTTTGCCTTATGACACAAACATAGTTCTAACAACCAGGGCTTTTTTTGTAGAAAAAGCCCAGCAGGAACTCATTAGCATAATAGGCTACACCCTGACATTGCAGCTTGTTAGCATATTAGACCACACCCCCATGCCTCCCCTTGGCTTTCCCGGGCGCCCCGCAGCTGTGGGGAGCCCAGGCAAGCCGGCCCTTAGACAGGCCGGGGAAGGCACAGGGAGGCATTTAAATGCCTCCACGATCCTTCCAGGACCCCCTGTGGCCCACCCGCCTTGGAGTCGCCGGGGGGTGGTGTTGCTTTCCAGGCCTTCCCTCTGTAGCCACGCATGGAGAGGTTTTGGCTGTAGTGGGCATGGCCAACTGTGAAGCCAGCCGGAACGCCGTTCCTGCCCAAAAATAGCCCTGGTAAAATTAAGAGATCCATGAATGTAGAACCTTATGCTATGCTCCAAAAATAATTTAATACCAACGGCCACATTGTGATTTATCTTAAACTATAAATATCTTCCTATAAATAAAATTTACATATATACAAATGAGCGTTTCGGTGGGAGAAATCCTCTTGATGCCAACAGGGATTAATTCTCTTCAAAATGAACACGTGTATGGTCACAATTCAACACTATCCCCCTTTCTGCACATCTCCCATACATTTCAATGGAGTTTGCACTGGAGCAGCACTTATGTTTGCTTGAAACTTAAAATATTAGAATTAGAACATATTTATATAGTTTTTAATTTTTTTCTGTTTAAAATGTGGGACACTATGCCTCCTTCAAAAGAGAAATTCAATTGTTTTTCAAAGCCTAACTTGGGACCTGATAAATTTTCAGATAATAATTGTAACATTTGTCTCAAAGCATACAAGGTTCATATAGAACTCCTGTGCATATGGTGATAATCCATTTATTTCAATTGAACATGTACCTCTGAGAAGGCATCTTTTTTTTGTATACAGACTTGCCTCCCTTCCCTGAATGGGACGATACTGCAGGTGAAGAAACATCAAGTGCATATCAAAGCCACAGTACCCAAGAAGTCACTGAGCTAGATGACAAAACCAGTAGTCTCCATCTCACACACTTGTTAGATAAGAGCACATTCAGTACAATGAAGGTACCTTCCTAGTTACAAATTTAAGACTGAAACGAAAATCAGCAAGATCAAATACTTCTCCCTTCATTAAAAAAGAAGCCCTTTGCATGCAGCAAGTGGTGCAGGAGAAATAGAATTGGTTCACTTATTTTCAATCTCAAACTAGTTTATCTGTAAATCTAATACCAAGGGATGGTCCCCATGTGGATAACGTAAATTCACATTTTTTTCAGACCCAGGGGAACTTTGATGTTTGTAGAAAAATTTCAGGTTTAAAAAAATCAGGGTACAACACTCCCAAGATAATAAATGTAAATTTACAAACTGGTGTTTGGGTGGCATTTCGGCTTGCCTTTGCAAAATTACATTCAAATCACTGTGATGGCCATCAACAACAGGTAAAAGGAGAAGTCTGAGCCAGTTGTGCCCCCTTATGCCATCCTGAAGAGAACAAGCAGGTAGGAGAAGGTATGGGGAAGTCAAAGTGGGAAAGGGGTATAAGCCAGTGCGGCAAGAAGGAAGTTGGGGGGGGTAGGGGGGCACCAGAACCAAATGGCGACAAGGTGGGTGGGTGGAAGATAAACTGGAGGGTGAGATAAGGGGGCTGGAAGTGGAGAAAAACTGGAGGGGAGGAGGTAGAAAATGGCATTTCCTCTCCACCACTGAGTGCTGATGGGTCCCCCCTTTTGTGTAACTGAAACTTGACTCCGGAAATTCATACAAAAATGCAGAATATACATTTCAATACTGAAATTACAGCAAAATACAACCCAAACCTAGCACTGCTAAAATTCTGAGTATTTTATTTGTAATCTGTACTGAAAAACCTGTAATTATGTTGAAGAATTAAGGTGTTTTTTTAAAAAAAGCTACCACTGCTTTTTAATAGTGTAGTACTTACAGCAGTATTCCAAGGAGAAAAATTGGTTATGTGACTTGTAGCACTCATAGAAGATGCGTAAAACAAAAACAGCACAATAATTCCTTTGTATTTTCACTGCATTTGTATAGCTTCACTTTTCTCTAATATTCCCACAACCCTCTTACTCAAAATCATCTTTCATTTTGCAAGTCAATATAACCAGAGTCACAATAATTTATAAATGCAGTACATGCACATGGCTTTACCAAGGAACATTCTGTAAGAAACGAAGTATGAGAGGAATGAACTAGATAACATGATCTGAATTATAAGATGCATAACTGAGCATTAATCATGACTTATTAAATGAAACGGCAATGTTTTATACTGGCCAGGAACAACAAAGCACATTTCCCATGGTTCTTGATTACCCTGGATGCTCTTGCGCATTATCACAACTGTGTCTAGGGAGGTTTTAGTACACACTAGCACTTAGGGTAATTACAAATCTAAGTTTAGAATTGAGATGTCTAGGCCCAAATATATTTTTCCCCCAAGGAACTCTGCTCACATGACTGAAGAAACATAGGAAAGATTATAGTTAGAGTGTTTTGTGTAGCCGGTGTACAGCCTGAAGTCTGCTTTGTTTTTCCACATATTTCAACATTTGTATATAATACCTTTCTGACTTAACTGCGTTCAATGACAACATTTTTATTTTGGCTACTAGTGTAACAACCTCTCTCTTAAAAATGTGAAGAGACAATGGAAAGATGGCTAGAGAGGGAAAGATGCTTTCAGGTTATCTGAAAAGTCCAAAATGACATTTTACTTTTATGAAGGCATTAGGTTGGAGCCTAGAAACCACAAGCTGATTTCCACTTGCAGAATGGATTGTTCCTGCATGCTCCTCTTTGTTGCAGACACCTGACCCCTTGGAAAGCCACTTCTGAGAGTCATGGGGCCTTTGGGAACAGTCTGAGAAATGGCACATGAAGCTGCAGCTTGAGGGGAGAATTCACAAAAACTGCAGGCCTCCCCTTGTGCAAGGAGAAAAGTTAATCTGAATACAACTCACAGCATTAATGGCATCAGTCTGTCAGACAAACACAGATTTGCTTTGGTAGATGGTATATACAGTCATGTAGGTACACAAAATTAACTGCATAACAATTTAAGCTGAAAAATTTGGCAGAGTTTTACAGTAAAAAAAATTCATTAAAAGCATAAAAGGTTATACAAATTGGCCTTTTAAAGTTCAGTTCCCAATACAAAACATAGGTATCAATTGAAAGCAGCCATAGCACAAATATAAAACTGATACCAACTATTTATACAAAGGTGTTTCATACCAGTAAGAACTGAAGCTCACAGACACCACCATAATTCAGTAGCCTCTGATCATTCAAATACACTATGTTTTACAGTCCTGTACTAAGATCCCCCTGTACCCATTGTTCATGCTGAATCCGAAATGTTTGGATTCCTTTTAAACTTCAAAGGTAATGGCAACCTGAAAGAAAGCATGTAGAAGTTGACTACAGTGTTCAGCACAACAGCTTTTAATATACCACTCCTGCTTGGCTAAGTACATAAATCCACCGAGATATGGCATCATTGTTCAGCAGCCACGCACTGTACTTTATTGTTGCACATAAATAATCACAAGGCACAGGACAGCGACTAGTCCAAGGGCTTGTAAACCAAGGAACCAGAGCATAACCCAGAAGAATATGACTATGACAGGTTCCACAATCCGTTCTCCAAAGTATATCCTCGTGAAGCCTATGCTTATGAGGCTTTTGTTGATCTCCCCAAAGAGAGTACCCATCTTTTTATAGTCATCTATAACAGGTTCATCATTGTTGTTTCTTCCTTCTTGGACCTGCAGCCAGAAAAGACAAGGAGACAAATCCATAATATATCAATTCTATTCATAGAAACCCTATTTCTTTCACTGTTTACTTAACATTAAATTATTGAAAAAGATTTCATGAGGGTTTTTTTAAAGTATATCATTGTTTATATCAGACTTGTCATATACAGGACTTTTGTTGTTTCCCACAAGAGTGGGAAAGACCTTGCTTGTGGTATTTCATATCCCAGAAGGAGTTACAGCAAAGCATTAAGAGTCCTCAAAAGTGTCCAAAAGTGTCCTTAGAACTGGAATGACAGACGCCAAACATGTCTAGGGTCATGCCCTGATATAAATAGCCCAGGCTAGGCTGATCACATCAAATTTTGGAAGCTAAACAGGGCTAGCCCTGGTTAGTATTGGTATGGGAGACCACCAAGGAAGTCTGGGGTTGCAACGCAGAGACAGGCAACGACAAACCATCTCTGAACATTTCTTGCCTTGAAAACACTGTAGGGTCACCATAAATTGGCTGTGACTTGAAAGGGATTTTACCACCAAACATGTCTGACTACAGTGGAATCTTTGTGGTTGGACAGTCAAGAGCAGACCCAGACAGAATCTACTGGATTTAATATTATCATTCATATTACTAAAAAAATTCTAAAGTGCTTTAAAAGAAAGTGTTGCACAAAAACTACAATAATGCCAGTACCCTGCTTTCAGGCATATAATCTATCAAAGGAAAAGAGGGGGCAAGCGATGGGAAAGCACATGATGGGGATTTAGTTTCCAGGTAAAGGCCAGGGAAATCAAATGTGTCTTCTAATACCATTTTGAACCCAAAAGTATGCACATGTTCTAACATCAGGAAGCAGGGAATCCCACAGCTTTTGATCTAATTTTTTTTAATCCCATATTTCTTCCAAGGAACTCAGGGCAGTATATATGGTTCTCTCTTTCCCATTTTATCCTCACAACAAAACTGTCAGGTAAGTTAGGCCAAGGTAGTGTCTGGCCTGAAGTTACCCAGTGAGTTTCATGGTAGTGTAGGGATGTCAGGTTCCAGGTGGGACCTGGAGATCCCCTGGAGTTACAGTTCATCTCCAGACTACAGAGATCAGTTCCCCTGAAGAAAATGGATGATTTGTAGGGTGGACTCTATGGCATTGTACCTCACTGAGGTCCCTGCCCTCCCCCAGGCTCCATTCCCAAATCCCCAGGAGTTTCTCCACCTGGATCTGGCAACCCTACCCGCCATTCCCAGGGAGGACCTCACAACCCTATGCTCTTGATCAACAATGAAAGCTAATGAAGAACATGGAAAAAAATGATAAAACAAGATAAATGAGATTTTGGGGTTGAGAGAACTTAAGGAACAAAAGGGAGTACACAAAGTCAGAAAACAGAAGGATAGAAAGGAGCCACGAGATGACTACACTGATAAATTAGCAGAAGTTTGAATTAAATTTGTAGAGAAATGGAAAGTAATGTAGATAAAAAAGAATAGTAAAACTATAGATTTAAAAAAATTAAATGGAGAAGAAAAAAATGTGAAAAAGGCCAAACAGAGGAACATTAAGAGTAGGTTATATGAGAGAACAAGAGGGGCTCTACAGGGTGGGAAATGCCATTCTCCCCTCCTGCCTCTAGTTTCCCATTCTTACTGTGGGTTCATTTCTCCTTCCCACCTTCCTTTTTTTAAAAAAATCTACCTAGCCCACCCACTCAGTTGATCTTTCCACCCTCAAGCATGTGATTTTCCTCACCCCCCCTTGCCAGCCCTCGTGACGTCCCCTCCCCCCTCCCCCCTTTTTTACATCTTTACCTGGTTTTTTAAACAATGATGGTGCATGTACAGATGTCATCAACTACTTCGAGTTTTTTTTAATCCCTTGTTTTAGATTTCATATTGTTATGCAAATGTTTCATATTTTTATGCAGATGTGATGTTTGCTCTGGGTTTGCAGAAACACATATACTAGCTAAGAGTCTCCCTCCCCTCCTTGTGACTGCATAGGAGAGCCACCAGTTGCTATTAGACATATGACAACGCAGAATCAATCAAAAGGAAGATATGAAGCTTAGAGATACTGAAAAGTCAGTAGAAATTAACAGAAATTTTAAAAGGGAGGGGAATGAGGAACTGCTAGTTCATGAGGAAGGAGAAATAGATACAGACCTGAGATAAAGATGAAGGACACAAAATCTGAACTCCAGTTTGGCATGAATTTGGCTTGCCTGCCTAAGAACTTTTGCCTTCGCCCCTGACTAGCCAGGTACAGAGCAAGATACTTTTGTTGGGTCAGTCAAGCTGTTGTAGTGATCAGGCTTTACAGCACAGTCCCTCATGTCTAAGAACCATGCCAGTCCACACTGTGTTTGCCACTCTAAACTGCCCAATTGAGTCACATGGTCAACGGCCACAGGATAGGACAGTGAAATCACTTTTCCTAATTCACTTCCTTATCTTGTCAGCTGTGATGCAGATATCTGATGGAGATGGGCAATGGCAGGTCTTAATGATCACCCTTGTAAACTGAAGAAATAGGAAACATGCTTGATTCTGTTAATGATTCCATTAGAAAGAGCCACAGCTAAGAAAGAAGTTGCTCATAAATATTTTAGCTAACAGGATCAATATGCCCATCAATAAAAGACTGGCTGGTATATATAGTGATATAGATTAAAAAACATCGTGAAGTTTCTGCAAACTGGTTTACAATCAAAGCATAATTCCTGTGCTGGTGAGGAGTTAGGCTCTATCTTGTTGAATGCCTCAGGAATATGTTCTGGCATCCATAACCTTCTTTATATGAGGCCACTGAATGAGATAATCTGAAACTTTAATACTGGATGCTGTCAATAAGCAGATGACACCAAGATCTATATTTCATCCCATAAGACCCCAGATGCAACCATCTCTGCTCTGAACCAGTGCTTTGGGTTTGTAAAGTTGCACAGAAAATGCAGAATGGATTTTCCCATTAAGGTCTCTCTACCCAGAAAGACTACTCTGGGACTGGAATGACAGCCCGCAGAGTAGAATGACAGTCCCTAGCAATACAATCTGTGTTCTGGGACTGGTTTGAAGGCATCCCCGAGGATGGCTGGGGAAGCTGTCCCTGGAGAGTTAATATTAAAGAAGTCTTTAATGTATGGTGAGATTTCTTCCGTTGGTATATTGTTGTTCAACAAAAGGTTATTTAGAGTCCATTGATGTGTCTTTTTTTGTTCAGCTCCTAGGTCTGGCATTTGACCCTGTTATTCAAACCTCTGATGTTGTATGAAATGATTTTTAAGATCAGTCTACATGGTGGCTGTTCAGCTGATAAAAGCGACAGCGGCATCCAGAGATGTATTGGTCTGAGAGCAAAGACTTGTTATAGCTTGAGTTTGGAGACAGACAAAGGTAATGGAGTTCAAGAAGTAATTAGAGTTAGAGTAACTGATAGAAGGAAAGTCCAAGAGGAAAAAATGATTTATGCTGTATATACATAGTAATACAATAGGCAATACGTTAATATAATAATTATTGAAATGATTATAATCAATACTAATAAAAATTTGAATTAATTCAAACTTTTACACTGTTGCACTTCTGCACTTTACTAATTTATAATAATGATATGAACTACAACTATTAACTGCAATAATAATTAATTCGTTTAACAAGTCAAAGTGAATGGTAAACTTCCACAGTTGATGAAATGTAGTCCTTATGCAAGAGTATTAAATCACCTGATGATCTATCAAATAGAGTTATCTCTCCTTAAATAGAATTCTGTTTTGGTCATGGACTCTCCTGAACATTCCACATGCTCCCAAATCAGTTTGCTCCCTGATCTGTTACTCAGAAGCTGTCCCTATACACTGGCTGCGTTGCCTGAGTCTCGCCTCCAATATTCTAAACAGTTTGCTGTTCCTCTCCCCCCAATAGCCAGTCGAAATACAAAGGTCACTTGCATATGCGGCCTGATTGGCCTTTGCCTCTAACATTCTAAACAGTTTGTTGTTGCAAGTCACTGAATGTGTCCTGAGGTAGAATACATATCCCAATTTTCCCTTAAACCGTCACTGGAGTTGACAAAATACATATCGCAATCTTCCCTTAAATGGTCACTGGAGTTGCCAATCTCCCTGTGGGTTAAAAAGATAACAAAACTGGGGCAAAATTAGTATGATTGATCCACTCAAACACTTAAGTATGTGTGCTAATACAATCACTTTTATACTCGAAAATTATTTCTAAGTATACAAATTATCAACAAGGCATACAACCTAAGCCATACAATGTCTCAATGTTATACAAAATTGTGAAACTCAATGATATACTAACATTACAGTAAACTCAAACAGAACACTAGTTGCTGCTAACAGCCGAAGAATTTATAGAACTTCAGTACATTAGTTAACAGCCAAAGGATTATGGAACTTTACATAACTGCCGGCTTTTGCTTGGTTTCATATCATAACTTCATCAGAAGCGAGTCAACGTGTATTGTGTAAGAATTTTCCTTGTATTGTAATTATACTTCCTGGTTTCTAAGGATTGTTCTTCACGAGAGCTGCTACATTTAGTGTTGGGACTAGCCCTTATTTTCTCCCTGTGGCGCCTGGAGATCTCCCAGAAATCACCGTGTTCCTCAGCCACAGCACATCATTTCCCCTACAGAAAATTTCCCAGCTATTACAATGGCTGCTTTGGGCAGGGGACTCAATGGCATTATACCCTGCTGAGGTCCCTCCACACCCTAAACCCTGCACTCCCCAGGCTTTACCCCTCACATCTACAGGTCTGGCCCTCCCCTTAGTATTGCCAGCCTCCAGGCAGTACCTGGAGATCTTCAAGATCAGTTGTCCTGGAGAAAATGGCTGCTTTGGGTAATGGACTCTATGGAATCATACCCTGCTGAGGTCCCTCCGCACCCCAAACACTGCCCTCCCCAGGCTCAACCCCTCAAATCTACAGGTATTTCCTAACCCAGAGTTGGCAACCCTGTAACTGACTATGGAACCGCTTTCCAGAC